ATCAACATCTGCTCCGTACCTGACCGGTGTGATATATGTTTTGATTTGAAGACCCTTGGCCATGCTCTCGCAGCATGTGTGGAGAAAAAAGCACGTAGACAGTTAAATAAGCTCATCCACTAGCCCGGTTAATTATATCAGCTGATTTGCTACACATACGTTTGTAGACAATGTGGGAAGAGATGCAAGGAATAATGCTTGGACCAACTTCTGACAACTAGTCCCAACAATAACTACATTAAAAGTTTCAAAATCGTGAGAGGGTGAGAAGGGCGCAATTTCCAATTGCTTTCAGTGAACAGATTCAGACAAGAGACTTTGCATATGATCTCAAAATAAAGTTTGCCTCAGGCGTCCTTAATTTGCTTGATTAAGTTGCAAGTAAGCGATGAAACATGGTTCGGATAAAATAGAATTTGACCAAAAAAAAGAAGAGGAAGAAGAAGAAAAAGCTAATCTGATGTGTTCTAATGAAATCTAGACAGTGCCGTAAGGAAGTAAGAATAGTTGACACATGATACATACCATTGGACTTTTAACTAAGAACTAACAAAAATGTGGGAAGAGACAAATTCCACTCCACTCGTGAATTAAATGAAAACACCAACTTGACTTCTATGGACTCTCAAAATTATACCTTAATTCCATAAAAATACAAAAATGTCCTCCAGTAGTTTTTTGACAACAAGCATGCGTTTTCCAAAAACACCGAGACCACAAAATACATGTACTTACCTGAGCAATATCACCAATTGCTTGGGGTTATTTCTCCTCTCCAAACACCAAGTTCAATAATCTTTTTGCCAATTTCACATGCAACTTCAGAGCGAGTTCTGTTGTGATGACAGAGCTCTCTTGATGAAATAACTAAAAATTAGCGAGTAACCTATAGTGATCTTGAGGCCTAGGAAAAAGTTTCAAAGAAATTGTTTCCTCTAAAGGGAGAAGTGTTGCATGTCAGCTTCAATTTAGCAAGTAATCCAACAGGCTTTCCGCATGCCTGGAGATAGAAATTTCGGGCAATTTGTTAATACTCGGCAGAGTCAAAAGTGTGTGTGTGTGTGTGTGTGAAATTCATCAGAATGTTCCGTGAGGACCAAAGGAAGCATAGGTGGGATGCCTTGGTCTATATGGCACAACAATTAATGAGTGAAAATCCAAGATCAAACACACGGGTCTAAACTAGTCAGACACAGTTTAATGTTTGGCTGCATTAGCTACATTACATTATTGAATATAATGGATATCGTGTTTATGAGGATTTCAAAATTGAAAATTGCCCGATTAATTGGAGCTGTATTTGGTCATTAGTCTTGATAATGAGCTGACCATAAAAAATTTATATGAAATCATTAATTAACATAATTGTAATAATTAGCCAACTATGCACTATGCACTATGCTGTTTCAATTTCATTACCTACGCCACAGTACAGTCAAATAAGCTTGCAACGAAATATGAGTAAATGAGTTGTCTACCGACTTAGATTGAATTCAATCCTCTTGAAGTTGTAGTTGATGGCGGGCTTATTATTGTCGCTCAACCATGAAGTCGAACCATAGATCCTGTATATATAATGCGCGGATCAAACAAGCCAAGAGCCAATAGATGGATAATTGTTATAGTTGTCCTCAGAACAAAACAAATAGTTCAATATACGATACTAATTTTCATTCCAAACGGTTGATAACCTATAAAGTGAAATGGGAGAGGTCATCTCACACGTCAATCGCATGCTATATATATATATATATATATTACGGGTCCTATAAAGTGCGAAAAAATAAAACGTAGATATTATTTCCAATAGAGAGGTCGCCACAACGTTAAATCTGTGTTATTAGCCCAACAATTTCACGAAAAAAATATGATGGAAGGGGGCTCATTGAGGCCATCAAGACGAACGGCATTTTAAGATGAGATGACGAGTATTTTGATGAGCCTATGCAATCAACAAACACGAAGAGAACTGAAACGAAGATTGTTGAAGAAAATTTGACCGAAAAAAAAATGAATTAGAAAGTTAAAACGCATGGTACTTGAGAAGAAGAGTCATGAATCGCGCGTTCATTTTCGCCCCGTTCCGGGAAAGTGACATTGAATGCATTAGATATTTTCCTTTATTGCAGAAAAAATAAAGATATTTACTTTCATCTTAAGGCGCTATTTCTTAATAAGATAATAACAAGGTAAGATTATAAATAGGCCTCGGATAAAAATTAATTTATACATAAATTTCATGAATTTGTAAAAATATAGTTAAATTTCGTGAAATCTGGTTGTAATTAATTTGCTGTATAAAAAGAAATAAATGAGTTTAGACAAACACTTCATTGACTAGCATGTTGACCAGGTTGAGGATTTCCTCTCTTTAGTCTTATGCATAGGACAAAGAGAATATTTTTTTATTCTATTTATAAATCACCTCATTAAATTTTTAACATGAGTTTCCCCTCTTACCCTCCATTGAACGGTGGAGAAAGAAAATATATTATTAAAGTATATATATTTAATAAAAATAATTAAAATTTTATTAAATTTTAAAATAAAGTTAATGAGTTTTAATGTTTTCTTTAATTTAAATGAAACATATTAAGAGTGACTTATAAATAAGACAGATGACAGTGCATACTTCCTTCGAACCACAATATAAGACATCTTCTAGAAATCTTACCTAATCTAAAATATAGGGTATTGGTTAATTGAATAACTTTTATATTTATTTTTACAACTGTACTTCTACTTCAATTATTACCTTTTTTTTAAAAAAATTATGTATTTAAATTTTAATTACTATTATCAAGGCTCTTATATCAAATATTTAAGGAGGATATAAATAGAAAGATGTTGACATTTTTAAGAATTTAAAATTTTAACTAATATTATTCATAAATTATAAATTAATTATGACTTATATTATGGTTTAGAGGGAGTATATACTAAGATGTGAACTTTAATAAATAAATAGATTTAGAGGAGAAGTGAATTTTCACAAAGGTAGTTATAATCCGATCTGCTCATTTTTTGCGGCAAGTGAGTTAGAGTTAGATGTGGTGCTCGGGATTTTTTAAGGATTTTAAAAACTATTCTGTAGAGTTACAAATTTTTTTATATAAAATATTTTTAAAAAAATTCTTTTTAAAATATGTGTTAAATATTATATTTTATAATATTTTACGGTACTTTAAAAGGAATTATTATTTGATCGGTCACTTGCCAACCAGTAAAAATATTTTTAAGAAATATTAATACTTTAATATTTATAAATTAAACGTATTAATAAATAAATATTCAAAATTTTCAATAAGGAGAAAATAAAGTAGTTTTCTCAAGCGTAATTATGGGTTTTTATTTTATCATTATTGTTTGTAACCAACCACATCATTTAATTAATTCATAGTATATCCTTGTGCATCTCCTCTCTCTCAATTTTCCCCTCTCACAAGAAGTGTCATCGAGGTTTTTCTACACCCCAATCATAGAAAACAAATTGAGTGCACAGTACATGGATTATTCCCGATTTTGAAGTTCTTAAACCACATCTACCAAACATGTATTGCATCTTCGTCTATGTCTCTCTTCTCAACAAATCGAAACCCATTTCACTTTCAACGATGGCGAATTAAGGGCTGATAATTTGCAGTCAAAGTCAAAATGAATTAAGTGGATAAGAATGTGGACTGGATTGAAGGAACTAGATTCGTTATCAGAAAATGAAATCTGGGGATGTGTAGTTTGGAGGATACCTGTTCCAGAGGTGAATTGTGGATCCTTATAAGGAACTACGAACAGTCTGCTTATATTATTATCCTCTTGGATGATTGCCTTGGACAACCGAAGTCCAGCGAATCCGGTCTCCTCAGGGAAGTATAAGAATATATTTATGAAAGTTACGTATGGCTTAAAAGTGTCCAGGGAATGTCAGACATGCCTGGGGTTGATAGGAGGACCAAAGCCATAAAGAGCTTTCCAGAGATTTAAAGAAAGCTGTGAACACGTAAATAAAATTGAAAAAGGCTGGATCCACCATAACACGCTGGGCAGGGGCATGGGTGCTTTGTCTGCCTCTGTATCCTTCTGGGATTGAAAATTGCCCCAAAAGAAAATGACGTGCTCTTGAAACCGAATCTCATCGCCATTCCTTCTGTTACTTACCCTTTATTTACGCCGAGTGCGATCAACCAAACTAACGATAGAAATGGAGGAATCAAAGCGGAGTCTAGCTATCTCTCGAGTCTTGAAACAAAATCAGCATAGGCAAGGTGGTGAAATAAATATAGCAAAAGGAAGCTCTTTTTTTTTTTTTTTTTGCCCCAAAGGGGTTTTCTTCACAAGCCAACTGGTTATTGCTTTTTAAAAGAAAGCTTACTTAAACCTACTCTGTTGCATTCGATAAGCTCGCTAGCTGAAAATAACAAACTGGAGATTCAAATAAAGAGGAAAGAAAAAAGAAAAGCTGAGCGTACACCTGCTAATTCTTTTAGAAAAAGAAACCCTTTCCGTTGAGGCGAATACTAATTAAGTAATAATCTGTATTTTTCCTAATGAAAAATCAAAGTAGAGACTAGAGACAACAAATCGACACATTGTTCTTTGAAAGAAGCCCCCCCGGCAATAATTTGCATCAGTCTTTAGACACGGAAAACCCACTTCACAGTCAACATCTGTATATGTATATGTTCTGAGGTTGATTCAAGCGGCCCCGTAGTCCACACAACCATTGGCGAGCAAGATCCAGCAAATGGCGGGTGCAAAACAAAAGCTTCCAGCATGACACGTTTCAAGATACACAATTTAAATGGCCAAAATTTATTTGTTTCTTGCTTTCGATTCGCCTATGCTAACACAAGCTACCTTAAAGTCTTGTCCATGGACCCATTTTGCCTTTAACCGACATTAAGCATATATTCCCAACAGCCTTCTTCTCGCCCTAATTAGCCTATGACAATAGAAAAGCAACAAACACAAAGCAAGGTGGAACAGTGAACACCGCGAAGCAGTACGTGAAGGATAATCATATTTCTACATCAGAATTAATACGGTAATTAATTAGAGCAGCAGTGGACAAAAACTGGACACCCAGAGATCCGCGGCCATTTATTTTACCCGTCTTCCCTCTTTTCCCCTTCATGCTGGAAACAATCATGGAATAAAACTTTTCTCTATCTTAAAGCACGCTGTGACTTTAAAATTAAAACCCCTCTATGATATCTACATGCATTATAAGAATATATTCCCACGGCCATACGAGGTGTATGTGGCATGTGCTAGATCTTTCGTGAAAACTCCAGATTGGCCCTTCCATGGAATCATCACGCGCAGTGCCTCTCACATGACTGAGCATGCGTTTGGATTTTCGTCGCTAAAGAACTCGAATGATGAATCAGACTGCTGTGATGTGCCCGCTTCCGAATCGTACAGTGGAGGCTCCATTCGTGTCATCCCCGGATAATGCACCTGCGCGTATGAATGCGGCTGTCGGGCCGTATAATACGCCGTGCTGTAGCTGCTGCTGGGATACGCTGTGTGATGGCTCACAGTGTACACCGGGGGTGAATTGTAATGTGGAGGATATTGAGCGTACATGGGATTACGTGGAGGGCTCTGATTTGCTGGACTTGGAAATGGAACCGGAACTTGATCATGGCCTTGACCTGGGCCCCGTGATGGGTTCGCCGATCCAGCGCCTGCCGGTGCATCACCTCCCGAGTGTTCGCCAGCGTTATTCCCTTCATGCCCCTTCTTTTTCTTCTTTTTACCTCCACTGCCAGAGCCGCTTTTTTCATTCCCCGGAGTTGCTTCATTTTCATTGCCAACTTGCACGGCGATGCTAACTTTTTTCCCGGCCACCAGCGACCGGTCACCGCCCGGTGATATCACTGGTTGCTTCACCTCCGGCTTCGGTTCTTGGAACTGGACACCGGATTCACCGGTTGGTGGTCCTTCATTGCTATCTTTGCCGGGGTTTCCGCCTTCGGCATCTTCGACTACTTTGACAGTCTCTTTTTCGGTATCACCGCCTTGGTTGCTTTCTTCCCTGCTTTTTGGGTCGGTCTGTTTCTCTTTGTTCTCTGGTTTTGGCTGCTTTTTCTTTTTCGACTCTGCTTTTTCGGGCCATAACTCTGCATGCTTCCCTGTTTTTATCAATTTCTTAATCAAAGTTTCGCTGTCCACGTTCCCCGTTACCACGACTTTATGCTGCCTCAAATCAATGTCTATACTACAAACACCTGGGTTACAGGTAGAACGAAGATCATATTAAGGGCTAGCTTCAAATTTGAAAGAAGACGATACTCACTCATCAGATCACCCAAAATAGTAAAAAGAGCACATGAGAAACAGAGAACGTTTCGAAAAATGAGATGTATCATGCAAGCAGGGAGCGGAAAACTGATCAGGAGCTCAGAACTAATAATATTGTTAGAGAAACATGGGCCAAAAAGCATACCCACATACATACACACACACATACATACATATAACTCAAAACCCTGATTTCCACTGAAATTGAACAGATATTAAAAAACTAGCCAAGGAATATTGCAAGAACAACTAAAAAGTGAACTGCATGAAGAGGCAGTGAGTACAGTGCAGGATTTGAGCAAACAAACAAAGAGCACCGCTTTGTTGCCAGAAATCGAGAAGAGTACATGTGAAATCAAAGAGAAAAATATTTTGGAGATGATTTGGGGGGCTAACAACTCACCATCAATACTCTGGAGAACTTTCTTGACTTTCCTTTTGCATCCTTCGCAGTGAATGGAAACTTTCAACACACAAGTCTGAGGAACAGAGCCACCAGATATTAAAAACCTTTAGACTCAGGAATTTGGATTTAACCAGAAGAAAAGGATTTAACAAACGGTTGCACAGTGATTGATTTACCTTACACACGAGGGTTTCTGCTTGTTCTTCAACTTCTCTAACCTCCGCTTTTGTTTCCGTTCCAGCCATTCCGACTTGGAAGATTGATTCTGGACTTGCTTTCCAGAGAGAGAAGTTGCAGGGAAAGACTATAGTCTATAAAGCAAATTCAAAGAGGGCCTCAAAACTTTGGTCCGTAAGAATAAATAAAGTGGGGCTTTTATGAAGTGGAGGGACGCTGTAAATTGGAGAGGAAATACATGGTGGGGCCAGAGGAGTGTAAGGGACAGACGTTCCTGAAAATGTCACTGTTTATTTAATAGACTTCAATTTGTATAGTGGAGACCTATCAATTTGGCATTTGATACCCCTTCGCCTTTTTTCCGTTTTCCACCCGGTGTCCGATGCTTTCTGGCTCAAGAATTTTCTTTCTTTCATGCTTGTTCTAATTCCTAGAGCAACTTCAATGCAACTTATTTTTATTGCCCAAAAAAAAAAAAAACAACCCACAGCTTGACAGCTCATTTATTCACCGTCTAGTCTCTACTGATACAGTGATACTTCCTCTATAGTCTAACCGTTTGCTGAATGCGAGAAGGGAGGTGAGTTCTGTGCTAGGTCGGTCTCATAACTAAATGAACCAAATTAAATGCAACACCGTAAAAGCAATTCAATAATCAATAAAAGGAGAAAAAAAAGATGCTGGATTTTCTTTCTCCTTTGTCACTGCTTTTATATGTGAGAGGCTGCATTGTAGCTTCCTTTCCATGCAGATTGGACGAACATTGGCTTTGGTGTTGGAAAGAAAACTCCACACGTCACACTCTTCTCTCTTAAGTTGCTTAGGAACTCAATAAGTTTACTTAGTCGCATCGGCTTTACTTGTCAATTATAAAAATTAATATTTTTTGCACATTCTGTAAAGTTCACAGTACCAAATTACAATTTGGCTTTTAGTTAAGGGACTGACTAATTAATTTGTCCTTCCATTTGTACGTTTGATTGATAATACTATATTAAGAGCATTGATCTTGATTAAAAGAAAGAAGCCTCATTTTCTTTAGAAATTATTGACGTAAAGTCCTCCGTTGTTCGTTTGGCAAAGGAGAGGCCCAGCTCACAGCTTCCATATGACACATGTCAGCCTTGAGGGTTAACACCTTCTGCCTGTTTTGATAATTAAGAGCACGGAGTACCTTGAGGACCAAATTTTTTTTTTAAAAAAAAAACTAGTCTTCGCTGAAGTTTTTCAATTGATTGACTTGATTCAGTGGAATCATACAACATCAAGACATTATGCTATTTCACCATACATGTACATATAGGATAAACGCATCAATTGCAACTTCTCATACCTACCTACAAGAAAAATAGAAAAGAAAAGCACCAGCTACATACGATTATATATATTTTACAGTTTAAAAGAATTATTGAACTGTAAAAAAATAGTCTAAAAATTCTCTTTATGAAAATCAAACTTAGTGCTGGTTTTCCTGGAAAAGTCCAGAGAAAGCCTTCTCAGTTCACCAACCAATGCCGGAGCTCCACAGTAGAAAACACCTGAAAAAGTAGGCGAAGAAGATGAAAATGAGCCACAGAAGCAAGAAGGAATATATAATGTAAGAGCAAGCAAGGAGGGAAATTAATATACACGCACCAACTCTCTTGTCAGTGTGTTTAAGAGCGACGCGTTTAAAGACACTGCGCCAATTGGGTCTAGCAAAATGGGTCTTGACCCTTGTGTCTGAAACGATATCCACACCACTCTTAGCATGGTGAAGAGATTGAAGCATAGTGATCAAAGCTGATCGAGCATCTCCTTCTTCGTACACACTGGTGCAGTAGTTATGAAGCTCGATGAGTCCATCCTTGTCGTTCTCTGCCACCTCGTTCATCACACCCTTGAACCATTCAAAGGAACCTTGCTCACGAGTCACCCAGTAGAAATAGGCTCGCTTGGTAGCGAAAGGCTTATTCCTCTTGTTGTTCTTGACCCCACTCTCTATCTCTCCCACTTCTATGTCTTGCTGTTGCTTCATGTTGTTGAGCACGTCTTTGAGTATGCTAATCAATGGGGTGGCTCCAATTCCAAGTCCTACCAGAAGAAGGACTTCGTAGCTTTTGTAGTCTTGTGCTGGTGCTCCGTATGGCCCATCAATCAACAACTTGGGCATCCTGCAAGTATGTTCAGTTTCATTGTAGAGTAAGCATATAAATGCTTTTATTATAATTATTTTCTGATCATTTGAGTACTGGTCTTTCTTGTCAGCCTGACCTTGGTATATTGTTGCCTGCTGAGACGTCTGCTCGTAGAAGACCGCTCTGGCCCTCATTTGCTGGTTGGCATGCCTGAATCAATTAATGTCACGAGGATGAGTAAGCATTTCAACTAGGAAGGATTTTCATTTCACATAACATGAATGAATTCACCATATGAACTTCTAATTATTGACCTTGGCGAAAACGGCTTTGAGCTGTGATGTCCAGTCTCCCAGAGTTCGAATGTGAACGCTCACATAGTCGTCTCCTGGAGCCGATGTGATAGAGAAGGGATGCCTGGAAAGTGCCACACAAATCTAAGTCAGCTATCATCTCTTCACACCAGCAAAATGAATAGAAATTATCAACTCACGAACGAGGCACATACCATTGGAATGGGGAGACATCTGAACAATTAACGTATAAATACTGGCCACTCATGTACTTGAATCCTTGAGGTTTAGACATGTACAAAGCCAATACGTTTCCCGGGTATACTGCAACCTGCAGTTTTGACACACGGTTATTAATTTAACAAACAAACAGCGGTAAATATAAAACAGAGGATGGATTTAGTCGGGAAATCAAATTAAAGAAAAATGTACCTTCAAGATTTTGACAGATTTGTAGCCGGATCTGAGAGCGCGAATGAGGCGTTCGCATGCGTATAAGATCATTGGAACGGCGAGATACATCCACGTCTGAGCCACAACAGCAAGTTCAGCAACAAGTGGAAGGAAAAAGGAGGGGTGAGTTATGGAGTACAGGGAAGACGAAGGATACCGTTTTCTTGTACCATTCCTTGGAGAGGTACAGGTAGTAACCGTGAACGATGAAAAGGGCATAGACGATGACGAAAAGGTGGTGAGAGTACCAAAAAGCGTTGAACCCGGTGAGCTTCTTGAGGGGCTTGGGGAGGTTTAGCCTGTTGCGGCGGAACCAAGGCTGGGCCAATGTGAAGGCTATGGCCATAAGCACCACCATGACGATCCCGGTCCAACCCTCCGTCCCCTTCACGAACCACCAATAATTGTTGGGCCTCTCTTCCCCAAAGTACTTCTTCATCGGCTCGTACTCCGCGTCCGTCGCGTGCAACAACCTCGGGAAGTCGCACGCCAAATGCGATATCGCATGCGTCCCAACCCCAAGCGCAATGCCAAAAGCTATCACCTGAATCCACACAAAACACTCTAGTCAGTCGTCAGATAATTGTGCTGAAATAATGCATGATCGATGAGTGAGGGCCGAGTGTGTGCATGTGCATGTGCATACCTTGTGAAAGTTGATGTTGTCATCGAATGGTACGATGGCTCCTAGTTTGGTCCTGCTTCGAAGCCAGGTGATGGTGTTTCTGCAGACAGGCAACAAAATGAGGGCCATGTTGAATTTAAGAGTCTCGGCGGCGCCTTTAGCGGAGGTGACACAATAGCCCATTATGTGGAAGACGGCCCTGTTCTTGTACTGAACGAACTTCCAAGCGAAGAGGGCCGCACAGATGCAAATCCACAGAGCTATGACCCAAATCCTCTTCCAATTGTCCTCCACGAAGTAGGCTATCCCACTCATGCACCGCTTGATCGGGTTGTACTCTTTGGTGGGGACCAGCTTCTGGCTCAACATTTGACTCAGCACTCTGCTGTCCGTCGTTATGTGCGTTGACTGTGCTGGAGCTTGCAGAAGCAGGGTCTCCAAGTTGTACAACTGCATCCACCCACAAAACGTCAGCATTTACTACGTCTCTGTCCATTCATTCCACTTTCACTGCGGCTGTAATTATTGGGCTTCGTAACACGTTTTGGAAATTATTAAATGACAATAATTGACTGGGCCATCATTTGCCAAAACCGGCTATTTTGACCCTTTTTGCAGTGGACCTACTTTATTTGATTACTGATCATGGGCTCTGCCTGGGGCAGTCCAGAACTTTTAATGCAAACCCGATCTCAGCTCTTATTATTGATGATGTTAAAAATCAAGCCCTATTGTTGTTTTAATCAATGCATGCTCATTTATGTATTTAGTATATAAACGTACACTATATGGGAGCCAATTTATAATTTATAATGGAACTTTCTTGGACGTGACTTTGAATTAATGTAAGAATACAAACCTCAATGTATCCCAAGTTGTCGGGATCCAGCTCCTCCATAATAAGGGCCGCATATTCTTCCGCACGTTCTTTTATTTTCGACAATTTATTAGCGGAGGCACTTAAGGCAATAATCTGTAATAAAATAAAGAAAAGTGAATATGATTTGGAACTGCTTCTAGAACACCAAATTTAAACTGAGCAATCTAATTAATTAATGCCGTGGATTTTTTTAGGTGTTGAATTCTCACCTCTTTCACTTCCTCTTCGGTAATTCGCCCGTCCGCGTCCTTGTCGACCCTGCCATTGGTCAAATATATCAAGTGAGGATGGATATAGCAAGTGCATGTAGACCTAATCAGCATTTTACAACTTTGACATTTACGTATCGTTTATAATTTTTTATTCCTTTCGCTTTTGACTTTTGTTGAATACCAACTATATCATTAATCTCGATCCACAGACCAAAAAAGGAAGAAGAAAAGATCGTTATTCCGTGAATTAATATATTTAGTGTCCTGTTGTCCAAGAAAACCAAAAGATATCTCATATATGTCTGTCCATGTACCATTGTTCCTTGCCTAACCTCGCAGTCTAATTATTGCGCCATTTTCGCAATACATTTTTTTCCTCTTTTCTCTTTTCTCTTTTGTTTTTACAGTCGTTGTCCTATAAAAAGACTTATATTTTTTGTTTATTATTTTGTGCTTGTATATAAAGAGGTTGACAAGTTTACTAATTTACTAATTTTTAGCTCCCAGACGTAGACAAGTTGTACTGCAAAAATTGGTCTAAAAAATGTTGTACTACAAAAACTCCTAGAATTTTATAATACACTCAATTAAATATTAATTCAGATATGTGTCCCGTTTTTTTTTTTTTCGGGT